AGCTCATATTAGCCAGCCTTAGTAATCTTCTAATTGACTGCATTTAGGAGAGTCCTAACATGTAACAGGAGCTTAGCAATTGAGAGCTGTTATGACTAAGATACGTCTCAGGAGTCAAACATGTGACAGACTGCAACCCTTAGCCTCCTGGGAAGGAGAGAATGGTCACTGTTCTGATCCAGATTTCTGTCTCTCTGGTGTGCCTCTGCCTGTCACACAATGCTCTCACCTGTTGTTTCATGGGTCAGGGCCCTCATTTCTATTTCCTGGCAATTTTATTCTTTCCTGGTGCTTCTGCCTAAAGTTAAGTGCAGAATCTTTACCTGTTGTGTTGCTAAGAAAGCTTTATTTTCCTTCCGTAATTTCCGCAAACCACCTTCTGCCAATTTTATTCTCTGTGGGATGGTGTCTGGGTTTTCATGGGGCAGCGTGCTCGGAGAGCAATCTGTTCTTTGGACCACTGCCCTGTACCTGCCCGTTTTGTATTCTGGTTCTGCTGGCATTGTTGCAGTAGGATGTTTTGGATATTTTTAAATTCTATTCCTTTTGTTAAAAAGAGTAATTTCCTATTCTATTCGGAGGTGGAAAGATGGATCTCTTTATACTTAGACCACAGGAGGGCCGAAGCTTAGAGAGTTTTCTTTGAAATCACTAAGAGCTCCAAATCCTGTGGGCCACGTGTCCTCATATGCAAAATCTGCTACAGAGCCACCAACAGAAATTTTGCTTTGCAGTTTTCCGACATCAGGCTTTCTCAGCTTCAGCACTCGCGCCATTAGGGCCTGGATAATTCCTTGGGTGGACTGTCCTGTGCTGCCAGGTGCGCAGCAGCATCCTGGGCCTCTGCCCCCTAAATGCCCACAGAAACCCCACGGTGACAGCTAACAATGTCCCCCCTGCAGGGCCAAATCACCCGAGAACTGCTGCTCAAATAATAAACATCTGAATATAAATTGACAAACAAGTTATAAAATGTGTAGCAAATACTGACAGAGCAGCGATTTTCAACCTGTATGTTGCAAACATTTTGAAAACATGCAATACCTGACTATTTAGTCAGGCGCACTGACCTTTTCCCCTTAGATTGTCAAATAAAAACATGACAACAGCCAACACCTGATTATACCTATTTTTCTTTTGATCAGCTCTGCAAAAAATATTTGTGTGTGTGTGCTGCAGAATTTTAGTACTTAGTTTATGTGTGCCATGAAAGTAAGAAGGTTGAAAATCATTGTTATAGAGTGCTTAATATGGGCTAGGCACTGTTGTAAGAGCTCTTTTCATATAAGTAACCTCACTCAGGTAGGTATTATTATACCATATTACCCACATTTTACAAATGAGGAAACTGAGGCACAGAGAAATCATGTACTTGCTAAGTGCCCGATCAAGAATCTGAACCTAGGCAGTGTGGCCTTGGAGTCAATGAGCTGGACTTACTGTGCTGCTCTCTCAACAAACCTTGGAATAGTTACCCACCTCACATAGCATGGGGTATTACCTCTCATAGGTGCTCAGCAAAAATGATTTTAATGAATGAATATCTACAAATCCAGGAAATTATTTAATGTCTTAAATAAGTATTGAGTAAATTCAGACTCTCTACTTTAATTAAATAAAAACTAAACTTTTCTTTGAATACAATCAACTATTCTCTATGAGAGCAAAGCAGAAAGTCTCTTAGCATTTCCAAGCCCATTTGCAGGAATCTTTTGGAAGAAGTTTGTTGTGTGGTACTGCAGTTCTGCAAATTGTCAGAATGAACATTGGTAAAATGGAACAAAATATTATTTGCCTGATGAGATTACACAAACCATCCGCTCTTGCCCTATGATAAGGAAATACTGAATTCCTCCTCTCTCTTAAACTAGGTATGTGTTCTGATGAGGTATAGTTTGACCTACCTTCAGAGCTTATAAAAAATTAAACATCTTTAACTAACAGGAAACCACTTTAGCCGATCAATTTTCAGACTTCCATAGTTGGCTTCCTATAATAGATAAGAGGGCTGGACTCTAAAATTTCTTACAAGTGCACTTGTCTGATCTATATCGAAATGGGAAGCCTGCATTTTATATAATAAAATGTAAAGACAGTACTGTCATTCCTGTTAAAGATTTCTTTAATGTGTACTCTGTAAGGCAAAAGAATGGAAACTTCCTAAGTATTAATTAAAACAATGTTACTAAAATAGCCAGAAGACAACTTATTCACAATAGCTTCATCTTATCAGTTCTCTTAAAAGTCATATTGCGAATTGTAATTATTTTACGCAGCAAGACTATGAGTAATACATTTTCTTTTAAAAATTTGAATGGCTTCATTTTTTCTTAATTCTTAAGAAGTCAGTGATTTTAAGGACGATATTAGAAAATGTCCTAAATCTCACTTTTCGTGGAAGATTTTCCAGAAATGCTGTGTTACAAGGGATAGCAGAACCAAACATTTATCTTTTTCAGTGGTACGAAGGGATAGCTCTTGTTCCCTATCCAGGCTGTTTGCTCACACCACAGAATTCACGGTTTCTATAATGAGTACTTGCCTCTGGGTAAGTAACCTGTCATTTACCTCCCACACAGTCTTGGTGCAGAGCATTACTTTGCTGTCATTTAGGATGGACTGTCCTGATACCTACAATCATTTGTGGATTGCTTTACCTGTATAGAAAGTGGCTCATGAGTACTCAGATTCCTATGGAATGGTAGGGTTATTCAAGTATTTTTTCATGAATGTAGAATTTTAAAAAACTGCAGAAAACAAAGCTAAGCAAAATGGGATTACTCAGAAAATAGAAAGTGACTTTCTTAAGGTTGTTTGAAATTGTTCTCCCAATTGATGGCCAGCATCTGGGTTTCCACCGTTTTGAGTTCCAAAGTTGCCAACAATTCCAAGCACCGAGTTACAGGAGGCTTACTCTGTTTTATGAAGCTGTCTTCAGAAAACAGTGTGATTGGTAATTGTAGAGCTTGCAAAGAGCTAAGCCTTCATTAGTACATAAATACCATTCAAGTATAGTTTACTTGAAGGTCAAAAATGATGGCCGGTCCAGGACAGACTTTTCCAAGACCAGAATTTTAAAAAAACAAACAAAAATTATGTTGCCCACATGAGTAGAAAGTCACTACTCCTGACTCCAAAAGAGTACCTTTTCCTTTAAAGTGGTTATATCACCAAGTGGTTTATTCTTTCACAAAAATCTGGCCCGTGTATATTACCCCCCTTAGGAGATTAATAGTACTATGCACTCTACATATAATGTTTAAAAAGAACCTTTTATATTTTATCTGCTTTGTGAAAGTGGGAAAATACTGTACACTGTCTGCATAGTAACTGAATGGCTGTTCTTTCCAGCTGCTTCTAAATGGTTATAGGTGTTAACCTTAGATTTCATGTTATGATAAATTTTGTTGCAATGGAGAGGCATTTGGATTCAGTCTTACTATACATTAGGGAATATGACAAAAGGAATTCTTAAGTTTTACCCAGTTGTTGAATCAGAAAAACCTGAGGTCTGAGAGATGTGGAAGTCACGGAGAGAACCAAATCCTGAAGAGAACTCATTTGTAAAATACTGCATTACGCATAAGAATCATCCCAGAAATCGAACTACGCCAGTTGGGGTGGGAGGTGAATTTTAAGCCATCAATCACATTATAAATTACTGGATTTAATTCTTTTGATGGTGAAAATTAAGTAGACACTGACGTATGAAATTATTACAAAAGAGCAGTGTTCAAATCATTGTTGCTCTGTTGAAATGATCATTATGGTTCAAGTGCAAATATGTAATTTTCTCATGTGAGGAATATGTGTGACTTATTTAATAGATAATTGCTACTATTTCATAGATTCAGGGAAGAGTTTGTAACAACTACTGATCATCATTGCTACTCATTTCTTTATTCAGCCTCCAAAAGTTAAAGGGTAAAAATTAGACCAGTACTATCACAGTAGAGCACCTCTAAAAATAGATTGATGAGAACTAAAAAAAGTTATTATTTTTTTGTCTCCTAAAATTAAACATGTACACACTGAAATCTGGGGACTATTTTGTGAATCTCCCATATTTTATTTTTAAAATGTTGCTATTCTTTAGGACATAGCATTCTTAAAGATTTTAGTGAAAGTTGGCAGGAAGGAGAAATTATGTTCAAATAAGTTCATTTGGGTTCTGATCATTTTTAGTAGAATTACAGTTTGGCCATGGAAAAAACTGGAATTTAAGGAAATTTGTTTTCTTTTTATTTTAGTTATGTGGTATCTCTAGTTCCAGCTAGTACAGAAATTTAGGGAATCAATTTGATTATTTGACATTTTGACAACTATGAATATGTCCCATGAAAAACAGTTACTATGTAACAATAGTGACCCCTTAGCTCATACGTACAGGGTGCAGCAAAAGTGGGTTTATAGGTGTGAATACATGAAAGTTTATTGTTGTATTAATTACTGTATTTTTCATACAAACAACTGTAGACCTACTATTGCACCACCCTGCATTTTTTAAATGTTCAGGAATTTTGTCGAGAATTTGATGCAGCATCAGCTTTTGAGTATTGTTAAATATATCCACCCAACTTGTGTTTCTGCACAAAAGGGCGTCATGCTCCCAAATGCATTTCAAATAATTTCTGTTAAGTCCTGAAGAGTCACTGCTTTAAACACTTGGAAGACTTATGGCACTTGTTTCTCACAAGTAAAACCCACAAAATAAACTTGTCTATGTAGCTTCAATTTTTTAAATTTTTAATCATCTACCACTTTTTGATACTTTGAGAACTAGTTAAAACTTTACCAAAATCTATTTTAAAAATCAGTATTAGCTCTAATACACAGACTTCAGTTTATGGTCACTTTTTCCCTGGTCACAGGTGCATGTTACAGCTTGCCATTGTGGTCATTGTGGTGCATTTCATTACACTTCTTGTTCTATCTGCTTTCTTGAGACTTGGGAAACAGTATTTTTCTGAGTGATTGTACTATATTGTTCCAAATATAAGGCCACCCAGAATAGAAGGCAACCTCCAACTAGAAACAGCTCAAATATGGAGAAAGGCTGGGGGCCCAGAGCCCGGCGGGTCTTGCAGTGGTGGCAAGGGTGCCGAGGAATAGGACGCTGCCTGCCCACTCTCCCGGTGAGTGAAGACAAGCCAGCTGCTGCATTTGCTTGTGTGTAACCCAGGTGGCTTGTGCTGCTCGAGGAAAGTTATGCTGGGGGTAGAGAACAGTCTGTGTACGTGAAAGAAAGTTGCTGTGGGTGTAAGTCTGGGGAGGGACGTTGGGAGTCGTCTTTCATCTCCTACACAGTCATCTCTAGTGTTTTCCCCCTGAACTTGAGGGTGAAAGTTGAGTGACTGGAGAACAAAGGTAGCCTGCACCTTCGTGAAAAGGCGTTTAAGAGTTCAGTGGCCATGAAAATGAACTTTTAAACACCAGCCCAGGAAATTATCCCATGCCCTTTCCAGTTGACTGCCCGGGGAGAAAGTGGTGCACTGTGGATCACGTGTACCTTGAAAACAAGCCTCCCTGAAACTGGGAGTCATGTGTCTAATTTCATTAAGGTTTTCCTCTTTTTAAATTCCTTATGTCCTGAGCCAGCCATGTTACAATTTAAATGGGCTCAATTTTATTAAAATATGTTTCGCTCAGTAGCACATTTAAAAAAATACTTCAGTGAAAACATATTAGTCAACTTTGTATTCATTGAACCTAGATAATTCTCCAAATTTTGGTCTCATTCTACTGAGCACATATAAATTTGACCTTTTGTTTCATAGGAACTAAATGAGATGTGATAGAATGAGTTGCTTGATTCTGTTACAATCTAGAAACCTGTTCGTTACAACCTTACCAGGCACTTGGCTACCTTTGTGGCTTCACAAAAACCACATAAATCATGACTCTTGAACCTTACTGTGATTATTAGTCCATAGCTCACAAAGTGGATTTGAATTTTAATCCCCCAATGATACATTTCCCCCTACTGTAGTCTTTATTATTATTATCCTATTATTTAAAGAAACTTCTTTAATAAAATATTTGTTTTTCTGAATAGATAAGGGTAGAAGAGGACTCTCCTTAAGTTTAAACAATGCTAAATTAGAGGATTTGTGGTAAAGGAAGCTATCACTGATTCTAGAAATTTTCTTAAACCAAAATGGCCTGAAAGATGGAGGTCCCATTCCAAAGCAAAAAGCATGCAAGGATTGATATACCTTCCAGTTTGCCAGGTCTGGGAAGGGAAACTTTGAAAGAGAAGGACTGGGAGGAGAGTAGCCCAGAGGGGGAAGGACTATTGCCAGCCAAGTCAGATTACCAGTCAGAAGACAGACAAAACTGCAGTGGTGGGTCCTAAATGAGAGGTTTGAAGTGAACTCTGCGTACCTCAGAAGCCTTTTCACACGAGTTCATGAGAGTGGTGACAGCAGGGAAAGAAAACGGTGGGGGACTAGAGCTTCCTTTATAATTCCTTTGTTTTGGAAACATTTGATCTCTTCAGAAGAGGAGGATGTCCAAAATGTGGTGATGGAGTTGGAGGGAGAGTGTGCCCCCTGAGCCAACTTCAAATAGTTTCCCTTTTATTATTTGTATCGGATACTATGCCTGATTTGGTCTGAAGTACAAATATAAGAAAACATAGCTTATTTTTCCCCAGAGAAGGTTGGGACTATTATAATTGGTTGCCCTGTGTCATCACCTGCTATTAATTTAGTCATTCGTAGAAATGAAGGACAGAAACTGGGGAGGTCACCTACATGTCACATCTATGGCTATCTCTCCCTGTTGGCTAGTGAGGGTTGGGCAGGACCTGATGTGTTTCCAAAACTCTCTGAGCACGGAAAAGCACATGGTCTCCATTGGCTTGTGAGGTGGTGAGGATAGCCTTCAACGAGGTAAGCAGTGACAGCGACGCGGAAGAGAGAACATATTCCAAATTGCATGCACAATAATTTTTGTAAAAGTCAATGGGAATTGTCAATTTCTTTAAAAATAGCATGGTTTGCATAAAGCCCATACCTAAGACTGTTGCTGCTCTCAGCTTTACCTTCCCATCCCTGAAATGCACAACATAGCAACTCTCTTAGAGATGCTGGAAAAGAAAAGTTCCAAACCACACGTGATGCTCCTTCCCCGGGGATTAGATTCATGGGATCAAAGAGAAACAGAGCAGTTATTAGTCTAATAGGCATGAAAAAAATCTCTAGGTTTGTTGGACAAAAATTAAAATCTCTCAGGCGCTCTGAGTGTAATGATCACCATAACACAGGTGAAAGTCCCATTAGACTGCTTTTTGTGGGAGTTTAGATAACTGCTACTCTTTTTCTTTCCTGATCCTTTAGTCTTTCTGCAAGCAATCCCCTAGAAAAAGTCGGTTTGATTTCCCCTCAGTTCCCATATGGGTGACTGTGACTCTCACAGGCCAGATTAATCATGGCACGTTCTGATTTCTCAGCAACTAAGTTGCAGAGTCAATGAACTACAAATACGTAATCTGATCCATTTTGTTTTTCATATCCAAAAAGACCAGAAAATAAGGATTTTTTTCTGAAAGAAAATACTGAATTTGGTTAAATCTCTTTGGAATATGTTCCACTACAGGTCTTCCCTCAAAGAAATGTTTTATAAGAATGTGATGTGTCTGCATTTTCTGAGACATATGGAATGAGGCATTTGTCTTGCTGAATGAGCATGTTAGCTCAGCTGCGGAGTAACTCACAAATTCCCCACACTTGAGTATGTTTAAGTTTCAAAAAGTCATTCTTGAAATGCTTAATGGTCATTCCTTAGGGGGCTTTGCTCTCTTTGGTAAATTAGAAATGACATCTGGACATGCATAGAGATGGTCCTTGGTTAACTTTTCTTGCTGGTCAAGCAGCAAGTACATTCCAGTTAACAGGTGGATAGTATTGTAGGACAGTCTCGGAAAAAAAATTATGAAATTGGCTGATTCTCATTTGGCAGTGAAATTGAATGACATCTGTGCAGTTATAAACGACTTTTGTTTTAATAACAAAGTTGTTGATTTTCTACTAAGGGTTCTTTTAGGTTGTCATCAGGGGCTGATGGGAATAACAGTTCACCCAACTCTCCAGCTAGCTTCAGTGGACATACCACACCTTCTCAGCAGCCTGAACCCGTGGTACACTCTCTTAAGGTAACCAACTGTGTACAACCATTTATCAAGAAAATCAGTTGTGTTGTGGTTTGTTTGCTGTAGTCCAGTAGTCCTCACAGTCTTGTTTTAACCATATATACTTTATTTTTTACCCCTAATGGTGTAACTTTATCTTAAGTTTTGAACTATGATTTTAATTTTTTAACTAACAATGGGTTTCAGTACTTATGGTTGAATCTCTAGTGTTATTTTGTTTTGAGTAATGTGATTCATTATCTGCATTGAGTTGAATTTGAAGTCTGATATGCATGTATATTCATTGTGTAAAATATTGTTACAGGTATTTTATGTGCAATGTTTGTAGCACGGGTGTCTTCAAATAGAGGGACTTAATAGTTGGCCAAAGGAAGGAAGGATACCATATTTTTCTTTCTTTATGCAAATGAAGAAAGCAGTGCAACTTACTAAAAGAAACTACTGAAACTAACAAAACCTACTCCCTCCTCCACTAAAAGAAATTAGGTCTTCAAACTTTAGTTAATGTTCCTTTATAGAATATTACAAAATAGATATGAGGTCTTGCTCATAAAGCTATTTTATTTTTGGCTTTTACTTCAAATTCTGTAATGACTTCAAAAAAGACTTGGCTAAAAATTATCATTTAATTTTCTTTACCAATAATGAGCTTTCCAATAAGTACCATAAGTAAAGTTAATAAAAATATTTCAGAGTAGAAACAAATGCAATAAAAATTATCTTAAAATTGAGGCAATTCCTTGAAATTTTCAGTTTCCAAGTATAAAACACTGCCCTTTAAATTAATAATCCATAACATGTAGCCTGATGCAGTATTTTGAGAATGAAGTAGGTAGAGTGCTTCAGTCTGCCACATGAGTTTCACAACTTTTCTAAAATTGTTTTGGATTCAGAATGATTTATCCACAGACTGAAGATGCATCCTTTTGGAGTGGGCCACATTTTCCCTGGCATGCATAAAGCAAATAAATAAATGAGAACTTCAAAATAGTTAATTGGAGATGATTTAGTTTTAGCAGCTTTAGCTCCCTCCTTATATTTTACTGTCCCTTAGATGAAGTGAGCTTGCGTCTCACAGGCATCAGTTGGCTGCTGATGAGGGAAGGTAGTATAACCACGCTGGTGGCCAATGGCAAGGCGCCTGGCATCTCCTGTGTTGTTGGGATAACACAAAGTGAGCAACTGAGAGGAATTCATGGGAAGGCACAACAGAATGAGGGGTGCACCCTCCCTCTGGTGGGTGCTGGTTTATCTATTGGGGAACACTTGCTCTCTGCTTCAGCATTTGAATGCTGCTTAGCATGAACAGTGCTGGAACTTTAGCATAAGCCAGGCTCTAACTACCTGAAAAGCATTTTAGAGATAAAAAAAAAATGAGTGGCTTCAATCCTGTAGTGTTAGTGCCCGTACATACTCCCCAAATAGCACATTTTCCGATTGAAAGATGATTCAGCCTGCTGCCTTATTAAAAGGGCAAGTGCAGTTTGAATCAGATCGGCTGAGTGGGTCACACTGCATTCTTCCCCAGATTTCCCACTACAGCTGAATGGGGCAGGCAGGGAAGCGCTCTTCAACTTTCTCTGAATTCATTCTCTAATTTTCATATGAAATTTTACCTCTAGAAAGGAAGATGTTATATTATAATCAGAACACACAAGTCTCACTGGGCAAGCTGGCTAGTACTGAGCAACTAATGTATCTATCTTTATTGGATAACTGGAGGCTTTTGAATAGAGAATGAGTTTGCTTCCCTCAGTTCACTGTGACTGAAACAGAAATATGTGCAAACACAGCCTATGGGAAATGCGTCGGAACACGATTGCCGTGTTAAAAACATGCAATCATTCAACATTTTGTTTTTAAAAGCCACTGATCTAGAGCATATTTATATCGTAAGATTTTCCTGTTCTGAAAAGAATACTTAGGACAGTGGCTCAGTTTCTCATCTTCTGATAGATTTCAAAAAAATTCTCTAGGATTTAATAACTCTGGTCAAGGATGGGGGAAGAATTTGAAGGCAGTGTGAGAAATTAGCTCACTTAAAATAACACCACATTTTTTTTTTGTTTTTAAAATTCATGCTATTAATTGGAGCTTCACTTCATTTAGTAGAAATTAACTGATTGGAAGTACTCTTCTCTGAGGTGCATAATAAATCAAATCTGTAAGTAAATGAGCTTGTTCAAAGAGTTCCATAAGTTTTCTATGAATATTCACTGAGCATAGTTAAGGATTTCCTTTAATGCAGCGGTTCTCAACCGCTTTGGGGGTCGAACGACCCTTTCACAGGGGTCTCCTAAGACCATCGGAAAACACATATATAATTACATATTATTTTTGTGATTAATCACTATGCTTTAATTATGTTCAACTTGTAACAATGAAAATACATCCTGCATATCAGATATTTACATTACGATTCATAACAGTAGCAAAATTACAGTTATGATGTAGCAACAAAAATAATTTTATGGTTGGGGGTCACCACGACATGAGGAACTGTATTAAAGGGTCGCGGCATTGGGAAGGTTGAGAACCACTGCTCTAACGGATGTAAACTGACTCTAATTTGAGTTGAGTAAAAGGGCCAGGCTTTCACTCACTACTATCATATCCTATGTTAAAGAAGCAATATCTACATAATAACAATGGCTAGAACTTTTGAGTTAACCGGAGAATAGTTTGTGAATTAGATTCTTTATTGCAGCATGAACTCTAGTGAAAATCCATGCAGTCGCAGTATATATGAATTTAAAAGAAAGGCTGCCCTCATGCTTAAGTCACTTATTTTGACTCAACTGTTCACTGGTGCTAATTCGCAGGTGACACCTTTAGGTGTGGCCATAGCACTGACTGGGAGGACAACAGAACAAGGAGTTTAACAATGTCAGAGTGGATTCTATAGGGGCTTTTAGGAAAAGTATTTTTTTATGCTACATTAATGCTTTGATTTATAAGCTGACAGAAGAAAATAGCAAACTGCACTCAAAGCCCAAGTTTTGTACTTTAGAAAGCATTGACATGAAAACTTTACAGACATTTTTAAAGGAATATTATTTCACTCTATTAAGCAGTAATTTTGAGAAATGGAATCTAAAATTGTTTAAAAGCATCTCATCCCCAAATACTTTGCTCTAATGAAAAATATTTATAAAGTGTTGCTCAAATATTGTCACTACTAGTATAAGGAGTCAGTGTTTCTCATTGCTAATGTCAAAGAACCATCCCCATATTCCTTTCCTAGCCACTGAGAATGCCCAGGCAAGAACTGTGAGGTTAGTAGTGTTAATATTAACAAAAATTCTTATGTACATATTCCTGGATTCTAACCAGTTTCACCATCACTATCATCTTTTCTATAGGCCATGTCTACATATCATTTGGACTGTTTGGTGTATAATTAATTATATTGCTCATTTTTATAATGGAGCAAGAATTATTGACTCTAAATCATTGACAGGTTATCTTAATGACCCAATTAACTAATGTATCTAATTATTTTAGACATTAATACATTCAATAGACTCTTAGTGATGCAATAGATTGCTTTTAATGGCCATCTGAAATTAAGTAGAATTGATTCTAGATAGGTTTCACAATAATAATTGAAAGATTTGCCACATATGTATACACTCTGATATGCAGACATGGAGAAAACTAAAGGTTTTACCAAGTGGAGCTGCTTGCTGATTTTATTCTATAACTAACAAGGTTTTTTTTCCATGTGAAATTTGCTTCTCTTTTTCAACTAATCCAGGTCTTGGATGTTCAGGAAACTATAGATCGTCAACAGGGTAAAGAGTATGAACAGGACCTTAGTGAGACAGAAAAAGCTATAGTCAGAGAAATGTGCAATGTAAGTTTAATGTGCTTTGTTGTGTATTCTGTGTTCCAAGCCCCATCATGACGTAGTTATTGCTTTATGAATATCTACTTTAAAAAATGCTGGACAAGTGCCCTAATTATGTGAAAATAAAATCAAATCCCCTTATTTTTATCTTTAGTATGTTTTATCACTACAATCATGTTATAAAATATTCAGGTAAGCAATAAGCCAATATATTCCAGAATTATTAAAGTTTCTAAATAATAAATTGTCTAAAATGTTACTAGTTTTGATAAAATAAATGGGTTTCTGCTTCATATTTTTAAGAAGGTCCTTAGAGATCAGTGTTTAAAACCTGTGATAAAACAGACTTCTTCGGATTTGTTTGTAAATTTACTTGGGGGAAAAGAATCATAATCTTACTAGGTAATATTTGCTGGGTTGTTCATGCATATAATATGTGTGCTTCATGTCATGCAAAGTAGTATCTTTACCTTTCAGTGGCTGACATATGTTCAGGATATAGCTATAGGAGATAGATATACACAGTAAAAAAATGACATGCTACTTTCATGATACATATTCAATGTGATCATTATATGGCTGACTAAATTTTATCAAGAATATAATTGTGAAGGTTATTAGAAAGCTAAATAGAATATTACAGAGGAACACATTTATTAAAAGCAAAAAATCATAGATTATATTAATCACTCATTTTAATTGGCTGCATATGTATAATTTTTAAACCTTAGATTCTTTGTCCATTAAGATATCAAAATTGCTTAGAAATACCCTTAAGCTTTAGGCTAATAGGACCAGATAATCTCAGACACTTAACAATCTCTTTGAGGTCTTGGAATCCAGTAAAAGTTACAAAGTCCCATGGGAATTTTATGTGCTGGGAAAGTGCTTAGTCTCCTGCTTGTTTGTGTTTTGGCTGTTTTTCTTTATTTCATGAATATCTGTTTTTATCTGTTTTCAAAAATCATTAGTTTTAGATGGCATGATTTCCTAAATGCGTCACTGTTTACCTTCTGTAGGTTTTCAGCCTGTTCTTAAGGTTTTCAGTTTGAATATTTCCCTCAGAGAAATTTAAGAATTTGGGTTGGTGGGCCCAATAGGCCCCCAAAGGTGATCCACTGATTCACCTGGAATCTCTCTATAGCCATACCCATTTCTGATCATCCCTGTAACTTGGATATCTTAATAGAAATATCATACACACCTAAAATCATGACTTATCCACCAGTTCACGTGTAACTAGTGAAATTAAACAAATGTGTTACCTTTTGTCAAGTGGTTTCTCACTTGTGACATTTTGAAATATCATATTTTGATAATACTTTGATAACAGCCCTAGAAAAGTAACTTCAACAGAATTGTTACTAAAATTTGCATTCACAACATGAAATAAAATCTCTTCCTGGGAAATGACAAAAAAAAAAAAAAAGAATTTGGGCCACACACCTAGGGATGCCTGTTGCTTCTCATCTATTGTCTCTGGAATGAGAAAGTTCTGACAGACTGTAGGATTGTAGAACTAGAGGGGGCCACAGAGGTCATCCCCCCAGTGGGTCTCCACAGAGTAGTATGTGGAGCTTCTTCATAATTCAGAGATCTGGGTTTTGCCCCAGATCATGGACAATTTGGATAGCAACTACTGGGTAAGCACCCCACACTTGCATTTTATGTTTAAAGAAATGAAGATCCCCAAATTTTGTTAATTGCTCAAATTAAGGTACTTGCCCAGATTGTTCGCTAAGGAACAGTTAAGTGAGCAGGATTAGACCCAGATCTCCTCTGAGGACTAGCTCTCTCCACTTCCCCAAGTGAAGCTGGGGACTCCTTTTCTTTCCTCAAGAATGAAAAGCAATGCATCTTACATCTCCATTGTGCTTAATGCCAGAAATTCTGTAAAGAAATGCCAGGATTGTCCCTTTTCTTGCCTCTTTTTAAATTTTTAGATGAAAGATTTCTGATTTCAAGACATTAGAAATTTTATTTCTTAATCACAGCAGAGACCTACTCATGGTTTGTATCTTGATTAGTTTGTATAGATCTTTTTGTTTACCTATATTTTAAAAAAAATGTGTCAAAAGGCTACGTGAGCTGGTGGTGATGTTTTTCCCCAAAGAAGATATTTCCTGGAGCTAAAGCTTGCGCTCCTCATTTGCCTTTAAACATTCTCTAGAAACCTTTTCTAACTCTCAATTGTTGTGATGCCCATAATTTGAAGAAGAAAAAAAAAGCCAGCCCAAGTCTGACAGTTGGCATTCATATATTTGGAAACTACTTAAAAGCCAAGAGAAAAAAGTGTTGATTTAAAATATTGGCATCACCATTAAAAATTATATGAACATTGAAAATACAAAGCAAATACTGGAGAAGAAAAGTATGCGGTTTTTTTAATGTTTAAGACATTTGCATTGATAAGTAATTTCTTAGAAACCCGCTAAGATTATGGAACCCCGTGCTTTTATAATAATGTCACAGACATACAGAACTTTCGCCTTGGTTTCTGATAGTCCTCCTGAAGATAGGTTGTTGACATCTATACAATGAAAGACTGTTATTCACAGCATATCATGTTACTAGCATGAAGGGCTCTATTCTCTTCCCAAACTGTACCACAGAAATACATATACTGTTTTTTTTTTTTTATCTTAGGTTTCTCTGTTTGACTCACAAATTCCCTGAGAACAGTACAAAAACTTGATTGGTCATCAACCTGTTCTCCTCTTAGTTAACAGGTCAATCACTCATTGGCTTAGCTCAGTTCTGCCTGGTCTGTGCTTCCTTTTACCACATAGCCCATTGCAGTCTACAGCTGAGTACTTGAAGACGGGTTGCATTGAGTTGTAACCATCTAATGCTTTGTGTCTGTGATTGAGGTCTTGAGTTTACCCTCCACTTCTAAACCAGAAATGTAAAGCATGCTGGAGAGTGTAATTATATTTACAATTTAAGGGCAAGAAAGAGATGCTAGCTTGGCTTCCTGATTAGATGTTTGTACCTCTTTGCAGTCAAGCTATTAAGACTGAGACTCTCCTAATTCCCTTGAGTACAGCTTGAGCCATCTATTGCTATGACATTCCTTTCCAATAGTTGAGGACCATAACAACTCTCCAAATGCGACAGGACATTTCTGTCACGTAAAAGTATCTGCTAGAACATAGAGACTAACAGTTGCATTGGCTTGCAAATGAAAGACAGAACCCTGTATTATTCTTACTGGGTATCTCTGTAGTATCTGCTCTATTTAAAAGGAAAACAAACACAGTCTCTGAATAATTAATGAACCAACTGGCTTTGTGTTCATGATATAGTTATGTAAATTTTTGTGGAATTAATCAATGTGAGCATAGTCTTTATAGTGAAACACCCTGGGAGGGTTATGATTGTTACTGTGTGTGTATATTCATGTTTTCCAATTACTGTTAGTATATTAATATATCATTGGTGATTTCGATAGTTTTACCTTATACTTATGTTATTCTTCAGCTCACCTTTACCACTGTCCCTCTAAAATAGCCCATTTTTTTTTTTAACATATTGTAATTGTATCTAGTTCAGTGATTCTTGAAGTTATTCTTATCTTTTCCCTGCGTGTGGGTGCTTTCTGTTTTGGTAATCTGAGAAATCGTACTGTTTGGTAGCTAAGGTTTATGATTGAAGCCCCAAAACTCTGCAGGGAGAAGCAGGGAAATTTACTATTGGCCCTAAAGCTATCAGCTCAGGACTTAAATAGCTCAAGATCAAAGAGTCTTCATTTTCCTTTGATATCCCTTGTAATAGAGGTATAATAGAGGGACCAGGATGATTTTGCTTAAGGATTCTTTAAGTCTAGCTATGCATTAGAAGCAATCACATTGGGAGCTTTTAAAAAATACAGATGCCTGCACCTCACCTCCACCAATGCAGTCAGCCTCCGAGGGTGGGAGTTCCTGTTTAGCGTGCAGCTAGAGTGGAGTGTCACTCAAACACCTAGACTAAGTTGGCAATCCATTCTTTAATTTTGACCCTGGTTCCTAACAAACCCGGTGGTCCAACAACTGAGTAATTCTTGTGATTTAGAAGCTTGCACCACATTTTACTTCCTTTGTGTTTGAGCTCATTCATGTGGCTATCTTGTCTCTTGTCTTCACATTCATCTTTGCCCCTCTCATAGATCTCCCCTACCAGTAAAAACACACACGTCTTTGTGGAAGAGAACAATTATGATGTTTTGTTTTCTTTTAAAGGTTGTGTGGAGGAAACTTGGAGATGCTGCAGGTTCGTGTCCTGGGATTAGGCAGCACTTGTCTGGCAACCAGTACAAAGGACCAATGTGAGAAACACTCTTTCAAACACGAGGTCACCACTGCCAGGAAGAGGTAACGGGAAAGAAGAAGAAAAGAGTGGATTTCCGCAAACCTGAACTCATGGAGTGATTGCACATATTTTCCCTCTAAAACCTTTAGTATAACTAAAGCTGTATTTTATGTCTCTCGCTTTGATGTCTACAATAGTCAATTTCAAACAAGGTAGCTTTGAAAGTCACCATTTTGGTACCAATATTTTCATTAGAACTAAAACGTTTTTGACTCCTTAGCTTATAATTGGGAAAAACGCATGATTGGAAGGGTACAGTAGAGCCTTGGTGGTTGATAGAGTTGACTCATTACATTTAATGCGAAAGTAAGAAGAGGTAGTATCTTCCAGCTTCCCAAGTTTGAGACTTGAGTACCTAATTGTTACATTTTAGTCAACAAAATACTAGTTCCTGCCGCACAATTTAGATGCAAGGTAAGATAAGGTTTCTGGGGTTTTGTTTTGAGGTGCTAAAATGTCACATAAATTCTCCTTAACAGCTGGTAGCAAGACTTTATATAGAGTGATTATCAGAGAGTACCACTTATTTCAAGTGATCAAATAAATATATCTTTTCTTTTAATCTTGATGTATTTTTCATGAAGACACGCCTTGGGGGACATGTCCATATTCATTCAGTGTACCCATTGATGTTAATATTACCAATTTCAATTGAAGAACAAGCAAACATAATTTTTCTAAGTGTTTTCAGCTGTGAGATGTCAATTTCTACAATTTAGTTTCTAGACATGCTGTTATATTTAATAAACTTCATGTAAACTTTAAAATATTGCACTGCATTTATGAAAAGCTTTCTTTGTCTACAGCAGCTATCTAATGTTTTATGAAACTGGCGCATGCCCTTGATTATTGAGGCTAAAAGCTTTGTTCAGGCTGCTTGAGGTTTGAAAAAGAGGTGTGCTAGCTTTGCTTAGTTTCTTATTTTTGGTATATATAATATTAGACTGTGTGTATTGGAAATGCTATGATAGGTATTTTGTGTTTATTCAAATGCAATGACAGTTTCCTGTATGAATGTGCAAAAGGCCTGTGACAGAATGCTAAGTTTTTACTGTGGTTTAAGATTTTAAAAGTAGGAATGCAACAATTCCCAGTTTTCAGATTTCTTCTAAATTATTCTATTGTTGTTTTTAAATGGGCTCATTAGCTTAATAATTGTCAGTTTTTAGAATGTTGTGATGAAAAACCAGTACTTTGCTTTCAGAAAACATTTATGAATTAATTTACTATAGAATAATCTCTAATTCTCATAATTGGATTACCATTTAAGGCCATCTTTCCTTTATATCTTTTAAGTATTACTACTTTGTAAAAGAAAATTGCTTGCTTTGTTTACACCTTCTCTTGTTAGAAAAAAAGTTTTCATCCTTACGTTGTTGTATTCCTACACTCTGAAGACATTTAAAATAAGTTTTTGTGCCTGCAGAAGCTAATACAAGGAACACTGGTCTTTTGACAAAATACTTGTGTAAATTTTGATACTGTATTAAAACTATTTTTTTAAAGTTCTGCATAAAATTGAGTATTAAGTATGTGTTCATCTTAGCACTGGTAATAAATTATTTAATCTCATGGTGGTTTTTTTTTTTCTTCTTCAAAATGTTTTTCCTAAACGAGTTTTCTGTAGTAAGTAAATACCATCATGCTCTTGTGTGGTGATGATAGTACTACAGATGCCTTTGTTTTATATTTAAGACAATAAGTCATGTTTTTAAACATGCTCACGAGGGATTTAGTATTCAGATATAACTCACTATTCTCTATTATAATGTAGTAAAAATTTTAGAATATTTTGAATTAGTTTGTTACAAAACTTCATTTGTTATTATAATTCATATAGATTAAAATTAAACCTAACTCAACTCTATTATTTAAAAATTATCAGAAGGAAATTTACTGGAAGGAAAATACAGAGGCTAAGTTTTTAATTTCTTTAGTATTTTAGGAAGCAGTGATATAACCAAGACATAAATTGGAAAGCACCGACATGCATGATAAGAGAACATACTTCTTAAAAATGACTATTAAGATTGTGGAATAAGGCTTCCTACATTTAGCATTAGCTCCAACTTTTAATGACGTAGTAGATGTATAGTCCAGGGCCTGAATCTTGCCAATTGCCTACTATGTTTATCAATAAAAATGAGTGGCACTGTTCTCTTATATGACCACTGTATGATTTTATTTTCCCTAGAACAAATGTTAATTTCTGGGCAGAATATTTATTTTCCAGCTCTGAAGCTGATACGTAAGAATCCAAGTATTTTAAGTTTCTAGCTTGCTCAAACTTGTTGATGGAAATCAACTATAGGAAGGAAGCTAGGAAAACCACAAATTGTTAGGTTTGATCGAGCAATTGAGTTGATACCCCTCCCCCAGGAACTGGCTTTTCAGGCCATTTCACAATGGACAGTCCCTTTGCTGAGACCACATTTCACTTGCGGTGACCACATTCCATTATCTCCCCGCTGGGTATGCACAAATAATTCTCCGCCCAGAAAAAAGCCCGCCAAAAGTCCTTTTACAGCCGCCGACTCCCGTCATTGGGTGCTGGAGCCATCCAGGCTCAGCCAGCTGGTGTGGGGGTGATCGAATAAATTCATAATCCCTCACCACCCTGGCCGCATGCGTTCCTCCTTCGGCAACCTAACGCAAATGTGGGGAGATGAACCAGCATGCTACTGAACTGGATTTAAAAAAAAAAATCCACAATGACAGCGGAGTAAGTGGAAGCTACACCCACCTTCTGCCAGGACCAGCCTGGAATTACAGCTAAAGTACTGAACAATCAACCTAACCACAGAATTGGCCTTCTAACCAAGAATTGACAGAAGCAGCCCCATCCACACTGGCAGGAAGGGCAGAGATGCAGGTGGAAACATGAAAAGAGCTGCACAGTTGAAATCCCAGAGGGATAGCTCAGCTGCCTGGGCTTCCCGGCCCAGAGCTACAGAGCTGGGAAGAGGTGACCACATAACAGCTGACTGTGAAAATCAGAGATACTGTCCGGCCAGGGAGACGGGGTCTGCTAGAGACACGGTGCCCTCTTATAGGACCAGTGCACAAAATCTCATGTGTGGTCACTCACCCTAGGCTCTGGCAAAGGAAGGGGAGATGGGTTGTGGATCTGGGAAGAGAGATGAAGGGACAGCCACCAGGATCCTTTCACTGAGTCCCTCTCCCACACTGCAGGCACCATCTTTTTTTGGGTGGAGCACTCCACTCCTTAGGGCATCAGCTTGAGGGAGAAATAGCCCCACCCTGAGGTTCCCTGCCTGGGCCAGGCACACTCAGAGTGTGACTGAGCTGTGTGGCTTTGGGTGCGGGCCATCTCCCACTATCATGTGAACCTGCCTGGCAGTGCCTCCCTGAAGTGGGAGATACACTAGCCCCACCCTCCCGGCTCCTGGTGGCCCCACTCTGCTGAGCTTGGGCTCCCAGCAGAATTAGAGACAGACTGAGCTGTGTGGCTCTAAGATGGGGGCCAGTTTTCCCTCGCCTGCCTGACCAGTGCAGAGCCTTCCCTTCACATTGCCAAATCTTGATTTGTTTGGGCCTAATAAACTCTGCTGGCCTCCCCAAGACCTTGCCCCACCACCAGAGTCTATGGGCACCTCACGGGAAGAGCAGCTAGATTGGCCTACTTTGCTGAGTGGCCTCAAACCCAGCACTGGCAGTGAGTTTGGACCTGTATCAATCTGGTGAACACGACTTGCCTCTACCTGGCCAATCACTGAGAACCTACCTCATGCAAATTGGAACTGCCAGAGGCACTTTCAGTGACCACAAAAGACCCTGAGTAGCCACAGCAAAGTTGGAGAAAGAACAAAGTTGGAGAAATCACGGTACCGGATATCAAACTCTACCATAAGACAGTAGTAGTATAAAAACAGTATGATACTGGCATAAAAACAGACATGTCGATCAATGGTACAGAATAGAGAGCCCAGAAATAAACCCACACCTTTATGGTCAATTAATATTTAATAAAGTAGGCAAGAACATGAATAGACTGTCATTTGCCTCATTGCAACAAATCATACTGGGAAAATTGGAAGGATCTATGTGTGTGTGGGGGGCGGGGGGGGGAGACTATCTCACCTTCTAGCACCATACACAAGAATAAACTCAAAATGGATAAAGACCTAAATGTAAGGCTTGACATCATAAAAATTTTAGAAGAAAATAGGAAGTAAACCTCAGACATTTCTCATAACAATAGTTTTTCTGCTCCTTGGGCAAGGAAAATAACAAAAAATAAACATATGTGACTACATCAAAGTAAAAAGTTTTGCACAGCAAAGGAAACCATCAACAAGATGAAAAGATGACTCACTGAACAGGAGAACATAGTAGCTAAATGATATATCCATTAAGGGGTTAATATCCAAAATTTATAAAGAACTTATAAACACATCGCCAAAACAAAAACAAGAAATAATCCAATTTAAAAAAATGGGCAAAGGATTTGAATAGACACTTCTCCAAAGAGGGCATACAAAGAAATGCAAATTAAAACCACAATTCGATATCACCTCATACCTGTTAGAATGGCTATCGTCAATAAATCAACAAATGCTGGTGAGGATGTGGAGAAAAGGAAACCATGGTGGGAATGCAGATTGGTACAGGCACTGTGGAAAACAGTATGGAGTTTCCTCAAAAAATTAAAAATGGAACTGCCTTATAATCAGCAATTCCAATTCAGAGCCCAAAACACGATTTAGAAAGAATAAATGCACCCCTATGCTCATTGCAGTGTTATTTACAACAGCCAAGATTTGGAAGCAGCTCACGTGCCCAGCAGCAGATGAGTGGATAAAAGAGCTGTGGTGCATTTACACCGTGGATTACTCCTCGGCCATAAAAAAGGAAATGCTATCTTTTGTGAAAGCATGAATGGACCTGGAGAACATTATGCTAAGGGAAATAAGCCAGTTAGAGAAAGATAAATACCATATGATTTCTTACATGTGGAATCTAATGAACAAAATTAAACTAACAAACAATAGAAACAGACGCACAGCTGGAGGTAGGGGGGTTGTTAGGGAACTGGGTGAAAAGGGTGAAGAGATTAAAGTAAACAGTATGGTGATTACCAGAGGGAAAAGGGATTCAGGGGAGGCAGCAGAGGATAAAGAGGGGGGGTGGAGATAAATGGTGACAAAGGAGACTTTATTTTGGGTGGTGAACACACAATACAATATATAGATGATGTATTATAGAATTGTACACTTGAAACCTGTATAATTTTATTAACCAATGTGCCCCCCTGAATAAAATCAATAAAAATAAAAATTGAATAGTTAAATAAGAGATCAAATGATAGAGACAAATAAAATGTAAATACGACATGCCAAATTTTTTTTTGAGATGCAGCAAAAGCAGTACTAAGAGGTAAGTTTATACCTTTGCAGGCCTACCTCCAGACACAAGAAACATCCTAAGTAATCTAATATTGCTCCTTAAAGAACTGAAACAAGAAGGGCACACAGAGCCCAACGTCAGTAGAAGGAAGGAAATAATAAAAATCAGACTGGGAATAAATAATGCAGAGAACAAAAAGATAGTAGGGGAAAAAATGAAACAAAGAGCTTGTTTTTTGAAAAGATAAAATTGACAAACCCCTGGCTAGACTCGCTAAGGGGAAAAGAGGCTACTCAAATAAATAAAATCAGAAATGAAAGAGAAAAAGTTCCAAGGGACACCACAGAAATATTGAGGATTGTACAAGGGTATTATGAAGGGTTTTCCACTAGAAGAAATGGACAAATTCTAAATATACAGCCTTCCTGAATCATGAAGAAGTGGAAGAACGTAAGTAGACTGATTTCTCGTGAGGAAATCAAAACAGTAATAAAAAAAATCACAAAACAAAAGTCCAGGATCAGATGGCTTCACGGGTGAATTCTACCAAATGTTCAAAGAAGATGTAATACCATTTTTTTTTTTCTTTAACTCTTCCAAAAAGTTGAGAAAGAGGGAATACTTTCTAACTCATTTTAAAAAGCCAACATTGCCCTGATAACAAAACCAGGCAAGGGCAACACTCCGAACAAGAAAATCCTGGCCAGTGTGGTTCAGTGGTTAAGCATCAACCTATAAACCAAGAAGTCACTGGTTCGCCTCCTGGCCAGGGGGCATGCAGGAGGCAGCAGGTGATGTTTCTATCTCATTGATGTTTCTATCTCTCTAGACCTTGCCTTTCCTTTCTTTTAAAAAAATCAATTAAAACATATTAAAAAATAAATATGTAAAAAAAACTATAGGCCAGAATCTCTGATGACATAGATGAACAAATATTAAACAAATTACTAGCAAATCAAATAACAATTTAGAAAAAAGAGCACATATCACGATCAGGTGGGGTTCATTCCAGAGATGCAAGGATGTTTCAGTATCTTCCAATCAATGTGATACACCACATTAACAAAATAAAAGATAAAAATCATATGACCCCATAATAGATGAACAAAAAGCATTTGACAAGATACAACATCCATTTATGATTAAAACAAAACTCAATAAAATGGCTATAAAAGGAAAGAACCGCAACATAATAAAAGCCATATATAACAAGGCCTAGATTAACATATTCAATGGTGAGAAGTTTAAGGCTTTTCCTCTGTGATCAGGTAAATGACAAGGATGCCCACTCTTTCCACTGCTATACTGGAAACCCCTAGCCAGAGCACTTAGTCAAGAAACAGAAATAAAAGGCATCTAAATTAGGGATGAAGAAGTAAAACTGTCACTGTTTATAAATGACATGATTCTATATATAATAGAAAACCCTATAGACTTCACACACACACACACACACACACAGCTATTAGAAACAATAAACAGTAAAGTTGCAGGGTACAAAAATCAATAGATAAAGATCTGTTGCATTCCTATATACTAACAATAAACTATACTTACAATTGCAACAACAACAACAAAAATCCCTAGGAATAAACTTATCAGAAGAGGTGAAAGACCTGCACACTGAAAACTTCAAGACATTGTTGAAAGATATATAAGAAAAATCAACGAAATGGAAAGATATCCTGTGTTCATGAATGGAAGAATTAACACTGTTAAAGTGGCCATATATTTTAAAACAATATATAGACTTCATGAAATCCCTATCAAATACCAATGGCATTTCTCACAGAAATATAACAAAAAATTCTGAAATTTGTATGAAACCACAAAACACTCAAAATAGCCAAAGCAATTTTTAGGAATAAGAACAAAGCCAAAGGTTATCACACACCCTGAATTAAAACTGATTTTAAAACTACATTAATCAAAACAGTATAGTATCAGATAAAAAAACAGACACAGAGACCAATGAAAATAGAATGAAGAGCCCAGAAATAAACCCACACAGCCCTAGACTGTTTGGCTCAGTGTATAGAGCGTCAGTCTGAGAACTAAAGGTTCCCAAGTTCAATTCTGGTCAAGGGCACATACCCAGGTTGCGGGTTCAATCCCTAGTGGGGGCCATGCAGGAGGCAGCCAATCAATGATTCTCTCTCATCATTGATGTTTCTATCTCTCCCTTCCTCTTCCTTCCTCTCTGAAATCAATAAAAATATAAAAATAAAAAAATAAACTCACACATATATCAGCAACTAATATTCAACAAAGGAGCCAAGAATCCTAAATAATGAAGAGCTAATATGCAAATGGACATCATGTCCTCAAGCCAGAACTGCTCAGACACTCAACACTGGGGAGAGAGGAATGGGGAGCAGCCAGGCTACAGCCCAGGAGAGGGACAAGCCACCCGCTTCACAGTCCCAGGCACCTACGGCTGGGCAAAGCCACCCATCCACAGTCCCCTGTGGCTGCGGCCAGCCTGGGCGAAGCTGGCCCCGGTCCTGGGTGCCTGCTACTGGCCGGAGGACGGAATCCTGGGTCCCAGGTGCAGGGCAAGGCAGAGGCAGTTAGGGGCGATGAGGCAAGCAGGGGAGCAGTTAGGGGCGATCAGGCAGGCAGGCAGAGGTGGTTAGGGATGATCAGGCAGGCAGGCAGGCGAGTGATTAGGAGCCAACGGCCCCGGAATTCAAGAGGCAGTCGGACATCCCCCAAGGGGTTCTGGATTGGAGAGGGTGCAGGCTGGGCTGAGGGATCCCATACTCCCATGCACAATTTTCATGCACCGGGCCTCTAGTATTAGTGGAGAGAAATGGTGCACCTGTGCGTAAGGCATGTAAGGGAAATGAATGCAACACGATTAATCAGTCATTAGTGAATGTTGTAGTTTGTTATTAATAATTATGTATAACAGGATATTGTAAAAATTAAGTTACGCAATTTTTATTTTTTTTATTTTTTATTTTTTTTGCACTTTTTTATTGTTTTATTGCTTAAAGTATTACAAAGGGTATTACATATGTGTCCTTTTTTTTTTTCCCCCGCCCTTGACAATCCCCTGGCCTCCCCTACCCCCCAGTGTCTTATGTCCATTGGTTATGCTTATATGCATGCATACAAGTCCTTCGGTTGATCCCTTACCCCCCTCCCTCCTGCCCCCCAACCCTCCCTAGCCTTCGGCAGCACATATACTAAAATTGGAACGATACAGAGAAGATTAGCATGGCCCCTACACAATTTTTATTAAAATGTTTCTTACATACCATTATATTGGCTGGGCCACAAAAATATTGGTTGTGGGCTGCAAGTTTCATATGCTTGACACAGCCTGCCCAAAAGTTGTCCCACTATCTCCTTTATATTTAACTAGAGGCCCAGTGCACGAATTCTGCGTGGGTGGGGTTCCTTGCAGGGAGGGATCATGGGAGGTTGGCTGTGGGAGTGCACTGACCACCAGGAAGCAGCTCCTGCACTGAGCATCTGTCCCCTGGTGGTCAGTGTGAGTCAGTGACCAGTCATTCTGTCGCTCAGTCCTAACAGTTGCTTGGGCTTTTATATATATAGATGAAGCAAAGCTGAAATATCTCCCAAACCCAGCATCCTGTCCTGCTTGTACTACAGGCAAGTTGTAAGATAAACACACCAGGCTAATAAGGAAATTTCAATCCTAAAATGAATATACAACCAAATATCACCCAACATTGAAGGGAAGCCACAACTATGAATCAAAAGCACAAAACTCAACCAAGAAAAGAATATATACCAAGTAAAATAATTAAGAAGACTTCAGAAGTACAGCCAATATTCTCAGAAAGATGGTAAATATTGCATTCATTTAAAAGAATTTTACATCTTAGGAATAAAATGCTAGTGTAAAAAAACTCAATACATTAGCTATATAGCAAAAAGGACACCTCTGAGAGCAATTTAGCAAGATTGAGACCAAGAAACTTTGCCAGAATTAGCAGATCTTTTAAAGTCTGGAAGTTAAGAAAAATGGAGGCTTTGTCCTAAGATTTCACTGTGCTTTCTCTCTCACATACTCTCTACTGTTTCCCTTAACCCTTCCCTCCTTCTCTTTCCTAATGTTTTTTAATTGCCATATTTTATGAGTTTCAATGTCAAAGGCTACCTAGAACCCTTTGGAAATAATGGTAAATAAGTGAAATATAGTCTCATTTTGTTGAGGATTAATACTGTCCCTTTAAAACACAGATACTCTCATTTTGCAATAGAGTTTCTCATAGTTTTGATGCCCAAGTTATAATTCCATTTGGTCTTATTACCAAGAAGCCTTTTGTTTCCTTTCCTAGTTCCTTCATTTTTCTAGATCCTGTTCTAAAGTGGTAGCATACAATATAGAACATCATAATTGCCATGGCAACAGATTCATATGCTAATCAGCAATGCAGTTTTATAGAAGCACAAAAGGTCTGAATTTGGCCTTTGATTCTAAGAACCATTGTTGGGTATGGGCCAAGCTGCATGAGTTTAATATAGCATTTCAGAAAGATCTTATAAAAATCTGTTTTCCCTGCAAGAATCTAGTTTGGTAAGAATGGGTTTCTTATAGGCCAGAAAAGATGTCTCTAGGGTATTTTTCACCCATACCTAGCCCTTCCAATAAATAGTGATCACACTGATTGGCCACCCAGGATTCATTTTCCCCTTCCTCCTTTGGTAGAGAGCCTTTTTTTTGCTTTAGAAATACACCCTCTTTCACACTGTCCAACAGATTCGGGAGAAGCTGTTTCCAGTTCCAGAGCTGAATCTTGATTAGTCTAAAGCCTAGACTCAAGTCTGCCTTGGTATTCTCCTCTGCCTGCCAATAATTAGCTCAGGAAGGGAATCTTATACAAGTCAGCATGTGGTCCAAAAGTGGCCACATGACCTAAAAAGGCTCATTTAAGCTGGTAAGGAAGAAATGTTATGGGTAGAGACAAGGTTTACTTCTCTCTCTTGCTCGATGTGCTAAGAAAGATTTGTTTGTTACTTGCAGCCATACTGGCTTTCATTAGCAAAGTCATCCTGAGAAGAAGGCATACACACAGGAAAAGGTAGAGAGAGTCAAGAGAATAGTGGAGAAAGGGAGCTAAAACATGGGTTACACTTTGTCTAGAATCCACTCTACTTCTGGATTCTCAAATAGGTAGATTAATTTTTTTTCTTATTGTTATAAACGAATTTGGTTTGGGATTTTGCTACTGCCTCAAATCCTACTAATAAATTTGTACACTTTAAATATTACAAATTGGATACATGTTCTCATAATATAGTAAATTAGAGGATAAATACTCTAAATGATGGTGGCTCAGTTTTGGGTAGAGTGTGTTTAAACAACTGATTCCTTTAACTACTGTCATAAAAGAAAGGTTCTTTACTATCTTTAAGTAATGGAATAAAAGAAAATAACAAATGGGGCTTCATAGGTTTCTTCATTTCTTCTCCTGGTTTATTTTCACTTATATTTTCACCTCCTATCCTGACCCGTCCCTACTCTAATCCGCTGGGAGGAAAGGTAGGAAACAATGCTGAGGCAGAGTCTCAACAGTAAAGGGAGACTGCTTATGCAGCGCATGGGGGAGAGGGAGACGGAGGGGCCAGGATGGTGGGCTCAGGCTGATGTGGGTGAAGATGCCCCTGGGAAGAAAGGAAAGGCATCCTAGGAATTCTAGAGTTCCCAAGAATAAAACTGCACCAGAGATGTTAGCAGGACTCTGGATTTGGAGTTTCCCAATTTTTCCAAATTATGAAATGTTTCAAAGACAGCAAAAATAGAGACATATTTTAACAATGTTGACATTTTGCTATATTTATATTTGATTCAATATTAAGAAAAACCATCTAAGTTGATTTTGAACCTCCTTCTTTATTATCTCCTTCCCAACCTAAAGGCAAAACCTGTTCTAAAGCTGGCATGTATCCTTTGCATTCATAGTTTTATAACATAATCTAGAAGCCTGGTGCACGAATTAGTGCACCGGTGGGGTCCCTCGGCCTGGCCTGAGGGATTGGGCTGAAACCAGCTCTCTGACATCCCCTGAGGGGTCCCGGACTGCGAGAGAATGCAGGCCAGGCTGAGGGACCCCAGCAGTGCATGATCGGGGCCAGGGAGGGACGTGGGAGGTTGGCCAGCTGGGGAGGGGAGAGGTATCCAGGGCATGTCTGGCCCATCTCACTCAGTCCTGATTGTCCAGACCCCAGCAGCAAGCTAACCTACTGGTCAGAGCGTCTGTCCCCTGGTGGTCGGTGTACATCATAGCGAGTGGTTGAGCAGCCTTAGTATATCATTACAATATGATATGCTTTGATTGGTTGAACGGCCAATTGGACACTTAGCATATTAGGCTTTTATTATATAGGATAAGTGCATGCAAACACAGGACACTGTTCATGGGTGGGGTCCAAGGTGGTGGCAGTGCAGGAAGATGTTGAGCTTGCCCCTCCCATGAGCAAACTCAAATAACATGGATATAAAGAACAAGGACTCCTGCGAGATATATGAGAGCTGAACAAACAGCTTCTAAACAACAAACAAGAGAAAGAGACAGAAGAGAGAAGGCCGGCGTCCTCTGGGAGCTTATTCTAGACATTTCGTATCAGTGGAATTATATGATATTTGGTCTTTTGTGATTGACTTCTTAGTATTGAGATTATTCACTTAGTATTTTCACAGTTCATCCCTGTTATCACATGGTCAGTACTTCATGCACTTTATTGCTGAATAGCTTTTGACCTTATAAATATACAACAGTTTACCTATTCCTCAGTTGATGGCCATTTGGACTGTTTCCACTTTAAGCTATTATGGGTTAGTTCATACGAACATTTACACACCAAATTTTGTGTGTTCCTGTTTTTTTTCTCTGGGGTATATACATGGGAGTGGAATAACCTAATTGTAAAATGGGTAGAGGTTTTGGATAGGAGATAGACAAATGGCTAAAAAATACCTGAAAAGTTGCTCAATATTAGGTATGAGGGAAATGCAAATCACAACCACATAAGGAATTTCTCACATATTATACACATATATGTGTACATATCTACACTAATAAAAGAGAAAAATGGTAATTGGCGTACGGCACTACCCTTTTCATTGGCTAATCAGGGCTATATGCAAATTAACTGCCAACTAAGATGGCAGTTAACTGCCAACAAAGATGGCGGCTAATTTGCATATGTAGGCACAATGCAGGGAGGCGAAAGGGAAAGCAGGAAGAAGCCCCCTGCCACTGACAGTGATCAGAAACCCAGGGGGGAGCTAAGAGCTGGGGGGCAGGGAAAAGGCGGCCCTGGGGCTGCCTTTGCCCTGCCCCCCAGCCATGATCGGAGAATCAGGTGCCTTTGCCGCCCTGGCCAGTGATAGCAGGAAGTAGGGGTGGAGCCAGCGATGGGAGCTGGGCACTGTCAAAGCTGGCAGTCCCGGGAGCTAGGGGTCCCTTGCCTGGGCCTAAAGCGGAGTCCACGATCGCGGGGCCGCTGCAGCTGCGGGTCCCCGCTGCCCGGGCCGGATGCCTAGGCCAAAGGCATTAGGCCTGGGCAGGGGCAGAGCGGGAGATCGCGGCGCTGCTGCTGCTGCGGGTCCCCGCTGCCCGGGCTGGACGCCTCGGCCAGAGGCATCAGGCCTGGGCAGGGGCGGAGCCTGCAACCGCGGGGGGCAGGGGCAGAGCGGGAGATCGCGGGGAGCTGGGAGTCCCCTGCCCAGGCCTAATGCCTTGGCCAGAGGCGTTAGACCTGGGCAGGGGCAGAGCGGGAGATCGCAGGGAGCTGGGGATCCCCTGCCCAGGCCTGACACCTCTGCCGGAGGCCTCAGGCCTGGTCAAGGGGCCGATCCGGTGATTGGTGATCGGAGGGTGATGAGGGTCAACTCCTTGGCCAAGGCATCAGGCCTGGGTGGGGGGCGGAGCTGGGGATTGGAGGGATATGATGGTCCCCTTGCCCAGGCCTGAAGCCTGGGTCAGAGGCGTCAGGCTTGGGTGGGGAGTGGAGCAAGCGATCAGAGGGAGATGGGGGTCCCCTGCCCAGGCATGATTCCTGGGCCAGAGGCCTCAGGCCTGGGCAGGGGTCAGAGCCAGTGATCGGGGGGAGATGGGGGTCCCCTGTCCAAGCCTGACACCTCTGGCGGAGGCGTCAGGCCTGGGCAAGTGGCCGATCAGGCGATCGGAGGGTGATGGGGGTCTACGCCTCTGGCCGAGGCATCAGGCCTGGGCAAGGGGCAGAGCCAGCAATCGGAGGGGTCTGGGGTTCCCCTGCCCAGGCCTGACGCCTG